CATTTGTTAAAAAAAAGGAAAATAATACTTCCAGTTATTTTACCAGCAAAAATGAATTTATTAGGGAATAGAATATTGTGATTCTGGACAAGTAAGCTATGGCAAAACCATAGGCAAACTCGGAGAACCAAGTAGAGGAAACCTATCTTACAGAGGAAAGGGGGGAATTGGGAAGGACTTTTATAAACGAATAGCCCATTGGAGTAAACTGGGAGTTTGAAGGATAGTGGCTTTTCATTGGCTGAATTGTGACTGTCTCTTATTGGCTGAGCTGTTTCCAGGGAAGGGGAAACCTTTCTTCCAGGGAAGGGGAAACCTTTTTTCCTTCTGCTGGGGTAGTAAGGTAGTAGCTAAAGTAGTATTGATTTGCAAGGTATGTCTCTTCCTATTGGATCTGCAATTGAGAGTGATAGGGTGTGAGAGTTCTGCTGGCTTCCCAATCCTATTCCTGATGAGGTGTCCCTTATTAATTTTCACAAGTCAAATAATATTTGTTCTATATAAATATTTGCTATTATTTTCACTACTACAGCTGACCCTTGAACAACAGGGTTAGGGTTAGGGGTGCTGACTCCTCACCCTAGTTGAAAATCTGCACATAGGGGTGCCTGGGTGGCTCAGTCGATTGAGTGTCCAACTCTTGATTTCCGTTCAGGTCATGATCTCACAGTTGTGGGACTGAGCCCCATGTCAGGCTCCTCGCTGAGTGTGGAGCCTGCTTGAGATTCTCTTTCTCTCCCTCTGCTCCTCTCTTCTGCTTGTGCTCTCTCTCTCTCTCTCAAAATAAAAAATTAAATTAAATTAAAACAAAGGAAATCTGCATATAACCTTTAGCTCCTCAAAGCTTAACTACTGATAGCCTACTGTTGACTAGTAGCCTCACTGATAACATCAATAGTCGATGAACATATATTTTGTACGTTATATGTATCATATACTATATTCTCATGTTAAAGTAAGTTAGAGAAAAGAAAATGTTATTAAGAAAATTATAAGGGGGGGCACCTGGGTGGCTGAGTTGGTTGACCACTCAACTTTGGCTCAGGTCATAATTTCAGGGTTTGTGAGTTCGAGCCCCACATCCGGCTTTGCACGGATAGCACAGAGCGTGCTTCAGATTCTCTGTCTCCCTCTCTCTGTGCCCCTACCCTGCTCGCGCTCTACCTGTCTTTCTCTCTGAAAAATAAAAAATAAAAAATTTAAACAATTTTAAAAAAGAAAATTATAAGCAAGAGAAAATACATTTACAGTACTGTGCTATCAAAAACATCTGTATAGAACCATGTGGTGGGCAAGGAGCAATGTGGCCACCAAGCCACCTGGAGAGAAGCAGCCCAGGGGCCTTTGGTGCCCTGCTCCCACCTGGCTGCCAAGGCCCCATGCCACGCCTCTCAGGCCAGGCAAGGGGTGGGAGCCAGGCCACAGCAAGGCAGCCCTCAGCCATGGCCAAGCTGGACCTGAGTGATCGGCGGGAGTGCTGAGAGGTGTTCCAGAAGCAGCAGAGACTCCCCGTCTAGGGTACCACCCGGCCATTGGTGGACCCCTTGGCACACCAAGGCCTGGTGAAACACACAGGAGGCTGCCACTATGGAGCAGTTCACTTTGAACTTTGGGCCTCAGAAGACTCGCACATCTTCACAACTGCAACTTTTGCCAGAAGCAGCAGTATAAACCCTTGATAGCACTGGCTTCTCCCTTCAAGCTCCTGAACATTCGGAGATTTGACACTCCCCACTCAAACCCTAGAGGCTCTGGAATGATTCCACACTGCCTGGGTGAGGGCACTGTGTGGAGAGCGTGGCCATTGAGTGCGTAATATACATATATATGTATATATATATATATATGTACATATACATATACATACATATACATATATGTATACACACACACACACACATATATACATATATATATATATAATCAGATTGTGTGTGTGTGCTGAGTTGTATAAGTTCTTTATGTATTTTGGATATGAACCCCCTACCAGATATATCATTTACGAACCCATTCAGTAGGTTGCCTTTTTGTTTTGTTGATGGTTTCCTTCACTGTGTAAAAGCTTTTTATTTTTATGTAGTCCAGTAGTTCATTTTTGCTCGTTTCCCTCGCCTGAGGAGATGTATCTAGGAAAATGTAGCTACAACAGATGTCAAAGAAATTACTGCCTGAGTTCTTTTCTAGGATTTTTATGGTTTCAAGTCTCACATACAGGTCTTTAATCCATTTTGAGTTTATTTTTGTGTATGGTGTTAGAAAGCGGTCCACTTTCATTCTTTTGCATGTAGCTGTCCAATTTCCCCAGCACCACTTCTTGAAGAGACTGTCTGTTCACCATTGTATATTCTTGCCTCCTTTGTCATAGAGTAATTGGCCGTATAAGCATGGCTTTATTTCTGTGCTCTCTATTCCTTTTCATTAATCTATGTATCTATTTTGGGGGCACCTGGGTGGCTCAGTCGGTTAAATGTCCGACTCTTGGTTTCAGCTCAGGTCATGGTCTCGTGGTTTGTGAGTTTGAGCCCCACATCGACCTCTGTGCTGACAGTGCGGATCCTGCTTGACATTCCCTGTCTCCCTCTTTCTCTCTCTGCCCCTGCCTCGCTCACTCTCTCTGTCTCTCTCTCAAAAATAAATAAATAAACTTTAAAAATTAAAAAATATATATATATCTATGTGTCTTTTTGTGCCAGTACTGCTTTGGTTACTACAGTTTTGTAGCAGATCTTGAAATCTAGAACTGTGCTACCTCTAGCTCTGTTTTTATTTTTCAAGATTACCTTGGCTACTTGGGGTTTTTTGTGTTTTATGGATTGCCCTGCCTTAAACGGCAGTTGAAGTCACCTTATTCCTCATTTTGAAAGACTTAACCTGTAAGTATTCTGAAATGGTACTGTTTATGGAATAATTACTACATGCTTGTGTTGCAATAAACCATTTTTATTTTTAAAATCTTGAGAGGTTTGGGGCGCTGGGTGGCTCAGTCGGTTGGGTGTCCAACTTCGGCTCAGGTCATGATCTCACAGCTCGTGAGTTCGAGCCCTGCGTCGGGCTCTGGGCTGACAGCTCAGAGCCTGGAGCCTGCTTCAGATTCTGTGTCTCCCTCTCTCTCTCTCTCTCTCCCCTCCTCCGCTCATGCTCTGTCTCTGTCTGTCTCAAAAATAAATGAACATTAAAAAAAAATCTTGAGAGGTTCACAAAAGCACTGAAAGGAAAGCCACTTGAACTTTGTGGGGAGTGTAAAGCTTCTTGAGTTTGCCAAGACATCCTGCATCAGACCATGAGCTGTGCACAGAATGTCAAGTGTTGATCTACCATATCCCCGAGAGCCTCCTGAAAGTGACAGACATTCCAAAGACTGCATCAGCAAAAAATACAATTTTTCAAGGAAAAAAATGTATCCTTGGTTTATTATAACACAGCTTCCTGGTGGCATGCAATTCACCGCAGCTGGTATTTACTCAGCATTGCCAGGTGAATCCTGTGGAATGGAGGGGACTTCTACCCCCTGAGCTCAGCTATTTCCTGCTTTCTTGAGTCTTTTTCATTCTGTATTCATGTATTTCCTCTTCGCTGCTAAATGGATGAAGTGGCACCTTCATCTACGTGCTAAGCAAACTATTAATGAGGAAGAGCATATGGCCTATCTCTCTGAAAACAGCATAGGAGGTATCAGGCTGGCAGGAGAACATGCACTTATGAGCCCATACTTTCTGGAATGTGACACATTTGGGCCTGCAGTCCTGCTGTGCCACTTACTCACTGGATGATCTTGGGCAGATGACTTACCATTTCTGATCCTTTGCTTTCTCATTTTCAAAATGGGAACAATGATAGTACCTATCTCATAAGGCTATCCTAAAAATGCACTGAGATCATTCATGCTAAATTTCCTTAGGAGTGCCTGGCACCTGGTGGCCCTGTAGGGTACTATCTGTAAACTTCTTCTTCTTTTTTTTTTTTTTAATTTTTTAACATTTATTTTTGACAGAGAGACAGAGCATGAGTGGGGGAGGGGCAGAGAGAGAGGGAGACAGAATCCGAAGCAGGTTCCAGGCTCCGAGCTGCCAGCACAGAGCCCGACGTGGGGCTCGAACTCACGAATCGCGAGATCATGACCTGAGCTGAAGTCGGAGGCCCAACCGACGGAGCCACCCAGGCGCCCCAGTAAACTTATTCTTATATGATAAGGTTATGGAGTTAAAAGTGTAGGTAGTCCATTCTGCTATGATGTTTATTCTCAGTGAAATACAATTTGGTTGGAATCTGCTGGTTCAACGCTGTTGGCAGGAGCAACCCAAACATTCAGATAAGGGGTCTGAAACTACATTCCCACTTCTTTGAGATGAATTTCTGAATTACCCTTATCCTGAGCGTGCACACACACACACACACACACACACACACCAAGCTCCATCGCAGCCTGTTTCATTGATGCTTACCTTGAGCTTTTCAGCCCCCCTACTAGCCCTAGTTCCTATCATTTCTTTGGTGCCTTGGCCTTACTGCTTCTTTACCATCTGGCCCACTTTGTCTCCTGGATCCCTGCTCTCCTCTTTCCGGCTTCTGGCTGCTCAGAATGATTTCCTGGGATCTCACCTTTCTGGGTGTGTCTCAAGATCCTTCCCTGTTAACTGCCTGCCACCGTCAGTCCTGGTAAGTGCAGCCAGGCCCTCTAGGGACCTGTCCTTTCGCATGGCTCTGGTGTCAGAGAATTGAACACCGGATAATTGTCATTTGAGGGGAGTATACTATCACCCACCAGCCCTGTTCCTTACTCTGTTATTCATCTGTTTTTCCCACAAACTCATTGCCATCTGCAGCCTCTTTATTTACTATCTACAAAGGCCTTTCGATTGTGTAACAAGAGAAATCCTGTCACAGACATAGACTCATAGATGAAGGAAAGCATAAATGTGTGCACATATGTGTGAATTTGTTTCTGGAAGGGGGGCAGCTACCTGGTCAGCCATCAGGTTGCCCTTAGGAATGGAAAAGAATTCACAATGAAAATCATGTGTATTTTCAGGTGAGTAGGACTATACATAATGCAAGTTAAATATAACGTGTTGCCTAGTGGGTGTAAAGCGCTCCGTTCTGAAGTGTAAAAATGCGGGTTACAGGTTCTCAATTTTTCAGCCTGCAGCCATGAAATTTCCTCCAGGGTTCGGCCCACTGGGCAGAGCAGGAAAGGAGATGAATTCTCAAGTGCAGACCTTCAAAACTGTCCTGGAAAGAGGAAATACAATGTAAGGGCTTTGGTATTGTCAGTAAAGATTTCTTTCAATGCACATCACTGCCAAGCACGTGATAGCCATTCAATAACATTCTTATTGAATTGATTCAGATCATATAATTCTCAACAGACAGACCTGGACTCCTACTTCACTAAGTGAATAGTGAACACACAGTCCTAAGATTCACTAAGTAAAGAGAGACTACCTGCTGTCCAGTGAATCAGTTACGAATTTACATTTGGCTGGTAGTTACAGAATGTGGAAAACAGTGGCTCAAACAAATTGGGGGTTTATTTTTTTCTCCTTTAGAGAAAATCCAGGACCGGTATGGCCGAAAGTCTGAAAGCATCTCTCTTAGTACATTTATCTTTCCTTCCATTGCTGCTGCCTAAATTCATCACTTTCTTGTGGAGCTTTTCAAAAAGCCACAAGAAGGGGCCAGTATGGGCCAACTTCTCAAATTTTCTACCATTTTTCTTAATGCTACAGCCTTGGTTGATGGTTGGTTTAAGATTTTTAAAAAATATTTATCCATTTTTGGAAGACAGAGAGAGACAGAGCACAAGCAGGGGTGGGCGGAGACAGAGGGAGCCACAGAATCCGAAGCAGGCTCCAGGCTCCCAGCTGTCAGCACAGAGCCCGACGCGGGTCTCCAAGTCATGAACCACGAGATCATGTCCTGAGCCGACGTCGGACGTTCAACCGACTGAGCCACCCAGGCGCCCCAGTTGATGGTTGGTTTAAACTCCAAGTAGAAGTCTAGCTCCAAGGATGAGAAGTAAAGATTTCAGCAGGAAGTGTGTGATCCCACTGCTTGAAGTTTTCTGTAGCTGACTCCATCAACTTTTGCTCAATCTGTCCTCATCTATACCTTCCTGTCAAGGTTTTTGCTTTCTTTCTCTCCTTTACTTAATCAACATCAAATTTATAGAAAGGATAATCTATATTAACTTTTCAGCCCACAAAAATCTGGGCAGGTCTGTGTAGCCACAGTTTTCTCAAAAATCTGGATAAAGAGAAAACTTTGATTTTGCCTGAGTTAGAATGCAGATAAAAATAGGAATTTGCTTGATTTATCAGGACTATGGTTAACAGCACAGCCATGCTGTTTCTATCTCAGAACAAAGTAAGATTCCCCCCATAAGCCTTATGTTTTAAGGATACAAAGTGTAATTGGGAAAATATTCAAGGGATTATTTCCTTCTACCTTGGCCCAAGTTTTCTGACCTTTAACAACAAACATTTCAGTGTATATTATTTGGGTACAAAAAGTACATTAACAGGTTAAAGTGTATTGAAAAATTCCTAAGTATGTGATCATATCAACTATCTTCTAAGGTCATATTTTCTGGATTTAACTATGAGTGATTTATTTCTATAACCTCAAATATATAGGAAAACATACACTGAAATCCAAGATCACTTATCCCCACCTTCCTAAAGTACCATATTTCAGGGTTCCCAGAAACAAGATGCTCATAAATATTCCCTAAGAAATTAGAAAGCCATCGACCCCCCACTTTGGAAACTACTGAATACTGCAAGGGCTGTGTGATCAGCTGCTTCTGCAATATAATCACTTCCAGCACGGTACAATAATTGATAGGACAATCAATCATGAACTCTGTAACCTAATCAGCCTGAAGTAGAATCATGACCAAAATGCTAAACTTGATATTGACAATGTTAGAATCAGAAAGAAGGGGCGCCTGGGTGACTCAGTCAGTTAAACAGCTTAAACAGCATCTGACTCGGTTTCGGCTCAGGTCATGATCTCACAAGCTGGAGCTCTGCATAGGGCTACTTTCATGAGCTTGAGCCCCACTTAGGATACTCTCTCCCACTCCTTGTCTTTTCCCTGCTCATTCACTCACTCACTCTCTCTCTCTCTCTCTCTCAATAAATAAATAAATAAACTTTAAGAAAAAGAATCAGAGGGGCACCTGGGTGGCTCAGTTGGCTGAGCGTCTGATTTCTACTCAGGTCATGATCTCATGGTCTGTGAGTTCGAGCCCTGCATAGGGCTCTGTGCTGACAGCTCGGAGCCTGGAGTCTGCTTCAGATTCTGTGTCTCCCTCTCTCTTTGCCCCTCCCCTGCTCTCACTCTGTCTCTCTCTCTCAAAAATAAATAAACAAAAATTTTTTTAAAAAGAATCAAAAAAAGTCGAAGATAAGCATCCATGTTAAACCCTACTAATCTGCTATTCACTTATTGGATAAAACATATTTTCCTGAATTATCTGTTTGTTGTCACAATTTTCTTTGCTAGTAGGAAACCTATCCATGGCATAGCTTGCCTTCACCTCAGAGAAAGAGCTATAACCCTTCCACACCAAGCAGGCTTACTTAAAATAACTGAATGGGAAAATAGGTTGGTACATGTCAAAGCAACTTCATAAATGGGGGGTAGCAACTTCATAAATGGGGGGTAGGATTGCAATGACATCATGTATGCATATTCTGATAAAGACCCTAATTTTAAGCTTTCAGTATCAGGAATGTTCTGCTTGATTTAACTGCATTAATATCACCATTAAACACATGAGATATTCCTGCTAAAAATTCTTAAAAACCTATGGTTCTATGTTACAAGTCCCTAACTTATTGATTCTTCTATATGTTCAGCTATTCCAAGGAAGGAGGCAAATCACACTGGCTTGTGATCAATAGATCATTTTAAAGTAAGATTATCATTGGGGCACATGGGTGGCTCATTTGGTTAGCTGTCTCTTCATCTTGGCTCAGGTCTTGATCTCAAGATCCTGAGTTCAAGCCCTGTGTTGGGCTCCATGCTGGGCGTGAAGCCTACTCAATAAATAAGTAAATAAGTAAGTAAATAAAGATTATTATTATTGCAGATGCTCATAAAGATGGTGAAGATAATCACACTTGTTTTCTGTTTGCTCAATGAGATTTTTTAAAAGTCTTTTTTAAAGAAGTTTATTTGTTTTCAGAGAGAGAGGGAGACGGAGAGAGCATGCAAGCAAGGGAGGGGAAGAGAGAGAGGGAGAGAGAGAATCCCAAGCAGGCTACATGCTCAGCACAAAGCCTGACATGGGGCTCGAACCCACAAACCAGAGATCATGGCCTGAGCTGAAATCAAGAGTTGGACGCTTAACCAGGGGAGCCACCCAGGAGCCCCTCAGCGAGGTTTTTCAGAACATCTTTATTGAAGAAAAAGAATATCACATAAATTGTGCATCTTTAAAGTACAGAACTTGTTAAGTGTTGACAGATGTATACACATGTGAAACCATCCCCACAATCAGGATGATGAACGTACCTGTAACTCCCAATGTGTTCTCTTGTCCCTTGGGAGTTCTTCTCTCCCCTTCCTCAAGAAACCACTGGTCTGCTTTCTGTCAATATAAAATTAGTTTGTATTTTCTTAAGATGTGTATAAATGGAATCATGAGAATGTGCTCTTTGGGGCCTGGCTTCCATCTTTCAGCAAAAGTATTTTGAGATTCAACCATGTTACTGTATCAACAGTTCATTCCTTTTTACTTATGAATAGTATTCCATAGTATGGGCATATACCACTTTGTTTATCCACTCACCTATTGATGGCTATCTGGCTTGTTTCCACTTTTGGGCTCCTACACATAGAGTTGCTATAAACATTCATGTACAAATTTTTGTATGGACATAACTTTTTGGTTTTCTTGGGTACATATCTAGAGAGGGAATGGGTGGATCATACGGTAGCTGTGCATTTAACTTTTTACAAACCTGCCAAACTGATGGTTGTATCATTTTACATTTCTACCTGCAGGGTTATGAGAATACCAGTTCCTTCACGTCCTTGTCACTATATGTCATTTTGATAGGTGCAGAAGTGTTGTAGTTTATGGTGGTTCCAATTTGCAATACCCTTAATGACTAAGGCTGTTTACCATCTTTTCATGTGATTATCTGTGATCTGTGTATCTTCTTTGGTGAAATGTCTGCTTAAAACTTTGGTTTTTATTTTTATTGGATCGTTTGTTTAAATTTTTTTTTTCAACGTTTTTCTTTATTTTTGGGACAGACAGAGACAGAGCATGAACAGGGGAGGGGCAGAGAGAGAGGGAGACACAGAATCGGAAACAGGCTCCAGGCTCCGAGCCACCAGCCCAGAGCCCGACGCGGGGCTCGAACTCACGGAGGGCGAGATCGTGACCTGGCTGAAGTCGGACGCTTAACCGACTGTGCCACCCAGGCACCCCTGGATCGTTTGTTTATTGTTAAGTTTTGAGTGTTCTTTATATATCCTGGATGCAAGTCTGTTATGAAAAATATGCTTTACAAATATTTTCTCCCTGTTGGTAGCTTGTCTTTGTAGTTTCCTAATAGTATCTTTTGAAGAGCAAAAGTTATTATTTTCCATGACGTCTCTGATCATTTTTTAACGAGTTGTGCTTATGGTGTTGTATCTAAGAGATTGCTCTCAAACCAAAGGTCACAGAGAATTTTTCCTATGTTTTCTTCTAAAAGCTTCATAGTTTTAGGGTTTGCATTTAGGTTTATGATCCACTTTGAGTAAAATGTTGTATGTGGAATGAGGTTAGATTGAGGGTTGGGTTGTTTTTTTTTTTTTTTTTTTTTTTTGCATATGGATAGCTGCTTGTTTCATTCCTTTTTTTATTGAACTGCCTTTGTACTTTGTCAAAAATTAATTGTCCACATAGGTGGGCTTGGTTTTGGACCCTCTTTTCTGTGCCAGTGACCTGTTCATCTATCTTGATGCTAATACCACATTGTCCTCAGTACTGTAGTTCCATAAGATTTGAAATCAGAGAGTGTTAGCCCTCAACTTTGTTATTGTTATTCTTTTTCAGAGTGTTTTTGGCTTTGGTCCTCTGTATTTCTATATACACTTTAAATGTTTATTTATTTTTAAGAAAGAGAGAGAAAGAGCAGGGGAGGGGCACAAAGAGAGGGAGAGAGAGAATCCCAAGCAGGCTCCATGCTGTCAGTGCAGAGCCCAAATTGGGGCTCAGTCCCATGACT